GAGAAGTTGTCGTCAACTGGCGCCGCAACATTTTTGCAATACCATCTGGAAAAGCAGGCTGTGCGTTCGTGGAGGAGCAGGCTCGTCTCCTGCAACTCCTGTCCCCTGACACACCTCAGGAACGCATTGCTCTGAAAGCTGCTATGGTGTTTCCGCCGCTTCTCCTGCAGAAACCTTTCCGGACATCAAAGGCTGCTGATCATGTCCGCTGCTTGCAGCGTCGACTCCAACTATGGAAAGATGGTGATATCACTTCCCTGCTCCACGAGGGTCGGCAGATCCAAGACCACCTACCATCTGGTCCTCTCCAGCGGTCTGATGACGCAGCGGTGAAAGGCTTTACCCGTCTCATGCTCGCGGGCAAAGTGAAAGCAGCAATTCGTTGCCTGCACACCTCAGGCAAGGGGGGCGTCCTTCCCTTGCAGGCTGACTGCGGTGGTGGCCAGTCCACCATAGATATTCTGAAAGCCAAACACCCTTCACCGGACTTGGATGGCCCCTCATCCGATGTACTGCTACAGGGTCCGTGCCGCCCAACGCATCTCGTGCTGTTCGAACCGGTGAATGCTGCATTTGTCCGGGCTACCTCTCTTTCCCTGTCTGGTGCGGCAGGGGTGTCTGGGCTGGATGCAGATGCCTGGCGGAGGATGTGTTGTTCATTTGGAAGATCTTCCACGGGCCTATGCAACGCTGTAGCCATGCTGACGAAGCGCCTCGCCACCTCTCCTGTCGACTCGGGTGCTTTGGCGCCGCTGCTGGCTGGAAGGCTTGTGCCCCTGGATAAGAATCCTGGTGTGCGCCCGATCGGCATTGGGGAGACCCTCCGTCGCCTCATTGCCAAGGTGGTCCTCCGCATCACCCGTCAGGACATTGTTGAGGCCGCGGGGGCACTTCAAACCTGTGCTGGGCAGGAGGGAGGGGCGGAGGCCGCTGCGCATGCCCTGTGTCGCCACTTTGACAGCAGCAACACAGAGGGAGCACTCCTGGTCGATGCTGCCAACGCGTTCAACTCCCTGAACCGTGCAGCTATGCTCCACAACATCCACCTACTATGTCCATCAATAGCAACAATTTCGAAAAACCTTTACCGCAGCACAGTACCTCTCCACGTCAGCGGTACGGTTATCTGGTCTGCTGAAGGCACCACGCAAGGCTGCCCACTAGCCATGCCCCTCTACGCTATTGCCATTACGCCACTCGTCACTACCCTCGCCACCGCCCTTATGGACGACTCTCCAGCTGGCACGGTGCATGACCGCGAATCGCCTGAGAGACCAGCCGGCGTCGGTGCGTCCGCTGCTCGACCGGACGCCTCGACCATCCAGCTATGGTATGCCGATGACGCGGGAGCCGCTGGCCTGCTGCACTGCCTTCGCACCTGGTGGGACCAGATCTGTCAACTTGGCCCAGCATTCGGCTACTATCCAAACGCTGCCAAGACTTGGCTGGTTGTCAAGCCCGAGCATCTCGATGCTGCCAACGCTGCATTCGCCGACACCGATGTCCACATCACTACTGAGGGCCGCCCCTACCTGGGTGCTCCTCTGGGCTCGGAAGCCTTCAAGACAACATTTTGCAATGCTCGAGTGGAGGCTTGGGCATCTGAGATGCGTGAGCTGGCGAACGTGGCCGAGGCCGAGCCCCAAGCCGTGTATGCCGCACTGGTCTTTGGGTACCGTCACCGCTGGACATTCCTGATGCGCGTGTCGAGCTGTGCACCAGACGTCTTCGAGGCTCTCGAGTCCTCTCTTCGCTCCGTCTTGTTGCCAGCTCTATTGGGTGTGCCAGTCGTCCCTGCCCCTCTACGCAGCCTTCTTGCTCTGCCTGTGCGTCATGGTGGCCTTGCAGTGCTCAATCCAGTTGAGGCTGCCTCGCAACAGCGGACAGCATCTCTGTCCATCACGAGCAGTCTCCAGCAACTTATCGCGGACCAGTCCTCCCTCTACAGCGTAGACCCAGCAGCCATTTGCGCCGCCAAGGCTGCTGCCAAGCAAGCCCAGTCTGTGACTACCAAGACCGTCCTGCAGACAGCTGGTCCAGAGGCCCTACCACCAATGCTTCTGGAGCACCTCCAGGCCAAGGGAACAGGGGCATGGCTGACTTGTCTTCCTGTTCGCGAGCATGGATACTCCCTCGACCGGCGGTCCTTCGTTGATGCCCTATGCATTCGTTATGGCCTCACCATCCACGGTTCACCTACCGAGTGTCCATGCAGCCGGCCGTTCACCATCGACCACGCAATGATCTGCAAGTTGGGCGGCTATCCCATCCACCGGCACAACCATGTCCGCAACTACCTGGGCCAACTTCTTTCTCAAGTGTCTGAGGATGTGCAGCTGGAGCCACCGCTGCAACCTCTACCGACGGTCCGCACGTTTGACCATGGTCCTGCCCTGCTCACTGCGGAAGACGCCAGACCGGACATCAAGGCCAGGGGGTTTTGGTCGGTACAGACTGATGCATTTTTTGATGTAAGGGTGTTCTATCCCAACGCACAGTCGTACCGATCTCGCCCGCTGGCTGAGGTGTTCCAATGGCACGAGCGTCAGAAGCAGTCGGCATACGGTGCCCGGATCCGGGAAGTTGAGCACGCGTCGTTCACCCCGATCGTCCTGTCTTCTGCTGGTGCCCTGGCGAAGGAGGCCACCCGGTTCCTGAAGCTGCTCGGAACGAAGCTCTCCACCAAGCTCTCGCAGCCTTATCCCCTCGTGATGGGAAAGCTGCGGACGGACCTGGCTTTCAGCCTTGTCCGCGACTCCGTCCTGATGGTTCGTGGGAGTCGCCGTGCATTCCGTGCACCTGGTCTGGCGGCGGATGTGGATGCTGTTTCTGTGGAGGCCCGCATTCCCGCCACTACGTGACGCTAAGTCCTCCTGGGGTTTGCCGCTCTCCGGTCCTCTTTCATCCCGTTCTCCCCTCTTTTTTGGGGATTCTTTGTACTTCGTCTTTCTTGTTTTCCTTGTTCCTTTGTTTTTTGTAGGACAGATTTTTGGTGTACTGATTTCGGTTGTTGTTGTGTCTGACTCTATTCCCAATATCTAATTCTGTGGTTGGTTTTCCGACTCATTAGATATCCTTAGCTAAAAAAACGCTAACGTAAACGCAAACCTTTCCGTACTTCGGATCGTTCAAGCTGACTTTTCCCTTAGCACAAAGTACGTTATAGTTGAGACGAAGTAGTCGTGACAACCATGGCGATATGAATTTTCGTGGAAACAGATGCGGGAAATTCAAAATTTTGAACCAGGGATTAGTTTGCTGTCGTTTCGAAAGAATACCTTGGCGAGGTCTTTTACTCTGGAATAGCAAAAGCACGGCGAACATGAGTTTTCGCTGTTCCCAGGTCCTTGGAAACCCTTTCCTAAACGCAGCACCGAAGACTGTAAGGGTTCTCCAGCTCCAGCACGTCTGGGAGAGGCCGATGAATTTCTTCCTCAGGAGTGCCGCGGAACTGGTCCTTTGTTTCCCAGATGGGATAGAGGGAGAACAGCACGAAGCAGAGGACGCAGAAATTGTCAACTGAAAGGCAAAACTCGCCAAAAAGCTAAATGTCACAAGAGGAAGCAATCTTGACTCTCGATCTCATCTCGATCTGCACGTCGACGTGCTTTTTATCTCCCGCCAGTTACAAAACAATGCGAGTTTTTGCATTTTTTGCAGAATTTCCATAACGAACGTCGGCCCGTTATTTTGAGCTCTGTAACGTTTTTCCGTTATCCGATAACGTCTTTTGTCACGGCTGGGAGTGAGTACCGTAAAAGTTAGCGTTATCGTACTTTTGCTAAGGATGTCTATTGGGTTGTAGTTTCCACCATGAGTTTGATTCCATCGTGAGTTTTGATTCTATTTGCTATTTTTCGTTCCATTTTTGAGCTCATATTTTATTTTCCTGATTTCTTCTCCAGTGTATGTTGTATTGCATTTTAATACATTGTGTTAATTTTTGCCCATAAAAGAGGCTTGCACCCCAAAAAAAAAAAAATAATAATAATAATCTCCAGTGCGTGAATCTATTGCCAACACCTAGCATGCACATGAGTGAAAACCCATTGACCTTTAATTAACCCTTTGTGACCCCACTGTAAAGTAAGACACTAACTCACCTTCAAATAACATGCTCTTTTTCTTGTATCTCTACCAAACAATCACCGATTTTTACAAACTAACCACTAACCTAGTTTTAGGCATAGTCCTATCTCGGAGGTAATACTATGCAGTCATAGAAATTATTATCAACACCTCACTTAAATGCCACCACATTAATGTATTATATAATCATAACTGCTCCGTTTCGTCGCCCTGTCTTTGAATTTTATCCCATTATGACAGTGGAATATCCCAAACATAGTCGCACAGGCTACCAACATGAGTTAAAAACCAGGATAGTTCAGTGCAGTGCGAGTCGGATCAGCACAAGCGATACACCAATCTGGTGTATACACGCAAAACACAGAATATACACCATGTTGTGCAATACAAAGTCATCGAGATTGAAAATACGTATGGAAAGTATACGAAATATGAAAAGTTTGGCTCCACCAGCGCTTGGATCAATTCTGAATCTTCTTCATTTTCGCCCAAGCCATGGAAGGTCCTTCCTGGCAAGCGCTCTTACTCAACACGAGTGTCGGATAACAAGTGGAGCGCCATTATACTGCTTCTTTCACCTCCACGTATCCATTCCCATACAAAATGAACGTGAACTGGGTTTCGCCTGTTCACTAGCGATTCAAGAATTTCTCGCACTTGACCCCAAAAAGTGACCGTTGGTATAACCTTGAAAACGCTCTACATGCATAACCGGTACGCTCGGTACTAGGTTTTCACGACTGCTCTACGCATATGTACACATCCAGTTCACGTATAGCATGATGTAGAGTGGAATGCTTGAACAAATACAACTCTCCGTAGAAGGAGTACCGGTATACCGAACATGTACAACATGTATACAACCGTGTATAGGCAGGTCATTGCCTGGAAGTCAATCACCCGCACTCAAACTCTTGTCCAGTAGAAACTTGCAGTATCCGACTAATACTTACACAATGGCTGAGGCAGAACCAGTACCAGCAGTACCTGACGTAGATGAAGATTATGATAATGAAGAATTTCAAGTCGCCGCCGAAGCAGCAGCAGCAAGGGAAGATGCGGTAAGTCGCCATGCAGAAAAATCTTGCCTGTCGCAGTGAATTTATTTCAAAACGTTAGCTCATATAAACTTAACCCACGACGAGCATCCTGAGACACAAGTTCACGATGGTGGGAATTCTGAAAAAAACGTACCTAATAAAAGACCAGAACATGTAGCTCCGAGCACGAACCTCCCGTTCCTTTTACACACCTTTTTGCCATTTTTTCTTTGTGGATGAGTCCAACAGTCATCATGAATTGGCTTTATCTTTTCTTCTCCGTGCTGATTTATGACCTCTTTTCTGTTCATCGCTTCATTGGTGTTGCCATTGTTTCCTTTTGAATGTAATAATTATTTCGCGAAGAGAGAGCCCGAACGTTGGTTATGAAACCTGTTTCAGAATGTTGTGGAGGAACCTGAAGCTTGCGCTCCTGCTAAGTTGCTGTGTTGTAGTTTTAGATTTGTCTGCCAGGAAACTTGTTGGAAACAAAAAATTATGTGCTCCTGCATTTGGAGCACTTGAACGATATGCAGTACAATTTGTTGAGCAGAATATGACGATACGTCCATGGCCTGCGGCGAACCTCTCAGGTTCGAGGCTGGTGGTATCAGTATTGATGTGTTTGGAGATCTGCTCCCCCTCCCCTCTTCTCCTCTCACGCCCCCCCCCCCCCCGGGTTATCTTCAACTCCAATAAGCTCAGTGAGCAGACCTCCTATTGTAAACTGCCCTGGTCACACCAAACAAGCCGTTTTCAGCTTGTGCTGAGAGTGGCTTGTGCTGATTGAAGTGGTTGGTCCCTGGTGAGACCAATATCAATAAGGAAATGGCTGAAAAGCGCTCGAAAAATTATGACTTGAAGCGAGAGATGTCCAGAATTTGGTCCCTCTCCCAAGTTGACGCAGTCCCTGTGGTTGTCGGTGCCCTGGGAGGCTTGGTGAGAGAGTCTCCTCAATGCCTTCGGACTATGTAGGGAGCATAATTGGCTATTGTGCAACAGGAGGCTATCCAAGGTTCCGTTAAAATTCTAAGAACTGTTCGTAACAGTCATGTAGATTCACATCTGCTGCGTTTTCATGTTCAATAGCCAAGAGACGAATAACGACTGATAAAGATGTTTCCTTTGTTACTCCCTTCATTGGTTGATGTACTTGATTTAGCACTCTGATGCTGGCCAGCTTAGGCTTTTGCACTTGGCTACAATTTTCACAAGCCATGCTTGAGTCCTGGTGTCGGCTTCGGCCCTTGCTAGTGCTAATTCAGAGTTTGACTCTAGAGGCGTTAGTAATAGACTGGTACCGATTCTGAATCCGAATGTCAAAATAGCCCCCTTAATAACATCATTCGGCTCACCAAGTGTCGAGCTTTAAAACCGATATCAATGCCCTTATCACTTATACAGAACACGTCGGTGCGAAATCTTAATTTTTGTTTTGATGTCGGAGTTCGGATTGAGGTTCTTTCCTTCTTTCTCTTCCTTCCGCTATTTCTTGTCCCTTTGGTTTTAAGCTTCTTACTTTATTCATTTTCTTTTTGCTGTTTCACCCATGGAAATATTTTCCCGGTGGCTTACGGCCTTCGAAAGAAGTGAATAAAGGAGACGTAATAAGAATAAGAATTATTTAAAATCGGATACTGAGCCCGAAGGTATCGGGATCGTTACATATGGAACCAGTTACCGCGGCCTAATGTTCGCGACAGATTAATGTTCGTTATTTTTGCTAGAAGAGTGTAACGCGAATATTAACCAGCGTGAATTCGAGCTTCAAAAGTCGGTATATGTAGGTGGCCCCTGTGCTTCGCGAACCTTTGCCATCACAAACTTGTTGGTTCCAAGAAATCGCGAAAATTTGGTGACGTGGATATTGGGCGATTTACAATATTTCCCAAATTAACATCACTACTACTACAGTCCGTTTCAAAAAGATTTGCAATCCTGGCGATCGCCCGCGGAGTTTGGCGTCTTGCCGTATGAGCACTCGAGCGCTGCCTGGAAAAACTCACTGTGAACTCGAAGAAATATTCCGCGCGAAAGCAGGAAAAATGACAACTCACTCACGTTGATACAGTCATGTACGTCTGGTTTACACCAAACGAGTTCTTCCTCGTATCGATAATGGAGTCAGAGAGGACATGTCGAAACGAAAGTTTTGTAGATGTTGACGAGCGGCATGTGTCCCAATTCGTTTTGTGACCAAAATAGTTTCTTTGAGCTGCGATTTACTCACCGTGTGACGAAAACGACATCGACACGGACTCATTCCCAAGGCCATGACTTGGCAAAGCTATCCGTGTGACTTTGACGACATTTTGAGAAAAGCAGACGCTTGTGAACGCTGATAGAAGACGGCGTTGACTGCTAAATTCAAATTGGCGATCTTGAAATACTAGAATGAATCTCAAAAAGCTACAGCGCGATGACTTCCATATTCACTCACACCATTGCAGTGTTGTGGGTGTGTTCACGTGGCGTGAGCCAGTCAAGTGTCAGTCAGTTCGGCAGGAAGCGCGAGCTCCAACAAGTCGTTTGGTGTGGCCATCTTTTTTGTCTTGTGTACCAGCTTGATCACCAAAACAATGAAGAAAAAAGGTTTGACTTGAGGATAGGTTGGGATTTGAACTAACAACTAATACTTCATTTTCAGCAGACAGCATTCATGACCATGATAACCACAAGGCCAAAAAGGAAAGGATAAATCCTGGGTTTGATAAAAAGTCGATACTGGCTTCCTGGGCAAATTGTACACCATGGGAAAAGGCCGGAAACCTAGGCGAAATTTTAACTCCTTACCGGCTGGCCCAATTGTTCCGAAACCTTCACAGAACAATTTGCGTGCCCTAACAAGCCATTCTATGTACTTTGGTGTCCACATTTCCCTGATCTTCATACTTTTAAGACCCAAACCTGAATTTAAATCTTTTTGAAACAGACTATAAGCACCAAGTGGAGGACAATCGAGGACAGTGTTAGTGCTGTGCGGTGTGAGCCAGAATATTCGTGTTTTGTAGGAGCTGTCCTTCCCATGTGTCCTTCTTCGATCAATCCATATCTGGCTTGCATCATGATGCATGATGCATGATGCAAGCCAGATATGGATTGATCGAAGAAGTATAGATTTACCATCACTGTGAATACTTGTAAGAGGATAAGAGTCACACTGTAGCTCAGTTGGTTAGAGTATTGCTCGTGAATAGCAAGGTCCCTGGTTCGACTCCCGGTGGTGTGACTGATGATTTGTTCCTCCATTGTGATAATAATTATTATGCGTGTGGATGCATGTGTTTGCGTGCACGCGCCAATGTATGTGTAAGTGGTTTCAATCGTTTGCAAAAATGTGTATGACAGTGTATGACGGTGTATGGCAGTGTATGACGGTGTATGACTTTATTGACCTGTGGTCTACATGCTTGTCCATCTTGTCTTCAGTTACAGCTCCGGGGTGACATCGAGATGTTGAAGAGAGACGAAGGGCTTGCCAAGCAAGTGTGGACGGTCAGTGAACGCTTTCAGAAACATTTTTACACGTGTCTGAATCTTTTCTTCTAACACAACTGCTACAGACAAATTATAATAATAACAAAAATAATAATTAACGCAATAAATAGAGTAAGCTGCGCACTCTGTACAAACACCATTAGCAGCTTACTCTATTTATTGCGTTAATTACATTTGTATCTCCACGTAAGCTTTTTTTAAATAATAATAATAATTTTTAACTAGAACGGCGGCAGAATTTATTACAAAAAAATGTATTATCTACGCATACATCTACGCAAGAGTCACCACGAGCCATTTTGGACATGTGTCAAAGTATTGGACGTTTTTGCTCCCTTCTTGTCACAATACTACAGGCAATGATGGAAATAAGCTAAAAGACTACAACTACAAGGAAAAGAAGTTTAGAGATACATCACTCGAATTATGTGTAGACGTGACAGCATGCAAATCCAATAAGTGACAAAAACGTAGTGACAAGAAAAAGAAAGAAATATCAAGAGATCAAGGGATCTATTTCGCACCTTCACGACGAACAGTGCCGAACAACTGCAAAGACAACACATTCTCCTCCTGAACACAAAGCTCAGGGTATAACTTACGTATGTACAAAGCTTCCAACACGGCTAGATGTAACAAAGACCTACCACTCGACAAAACAGAGAATACATCATCGGAATACCACACACGACAACTAGCACAGCCCGACCGGTGACACTTCATTGCCGAGGTACTGTTTTCCTGACCGGACTTCTTCACATAATTGGAGTGATGTATCTCTGAACTTCTTTTCCTTACAGTTGTAGTCTTTTAGCTTATTTCCATCATTCCCTGTAGTATTTTGACAAGAAGGGAACGAAAACGTTCAATACTTTGACACACACATATCCTATTTGGCTGGTGGTCACTCTTGCGTAGATACATGCGTAGATAATAATATTTTTTTGTAATAATAATACTTCAACTACGAAATAGAGGTTGCAAATTCGGCGATGATTTTGTTAAGGATTAGGTTCGCTATTTCGCCGACGACTTGACACTTGACTGACTCACGACTGCCATCCAGAGAACACGAGAAGTCCATCGAAACTTCGGCTCGGAAAACCTGCAAGAAAACACCACTCCCTGCTCAACGCACAGTGTTTCGGGGAATTCACCCCTCATCAGTTGAGCTTGAGCAGGCTTCCTCTTCCTCAGCCTACTCAAGTTCAACTGATGAGGGGTGAATTCCCCGAAACACTGTGTATTGAGCTGGGAGTGGTGCATTCTCTGTATGGCAGTCGTGAGTCAGCCAAGTGTCAAGTCGCCGGCGGAATAGCGCGAGCTCCTGTGTGGGAGCAAACCCATTCCTAAAATAATAATAATTATTATTATTATGATCAAGAAAGGTAAAGGACAAAATGTTACGAGTTATGACAAACTGGTCGTACATTGCCACGTTCGGAGTTGCCAATAGCAGCTACGTGATTTGAAAATTCCGTATGGTGGAACCCAGATGCGCATGCAGTTTACGTAAGACTTTCCGTAGATCGAATACGTTTTTTACTAACGTAATTACGTTATGCGGAACCTCTCTAATACTAATACAAAAGAGAAAGACCAATGAACTACAAGTTACCCCTATACTGTCCACTAACACCACCAGTTACTAAACAATCAGCTCATGCGATAACATTGCACGACACTGACCGACGGTACTGACGTTCTATAACTAACTGGCTAACAGCTCTAGCACATCTTGGATGCATCTTTGCATCCTTTGAGCCACAATAGTTGTGTGGAATGTTGCTGTGAGTTTTTGAATCGTGGTTTGACCGTATTGTCCAATGGTCTTGCCAGTATCGCCATCGACATGCATGAACATCCGCCAACGTCCTTCACAGCTGAGACTTTCAGCTCGTGCGTATCTTGGCTGCGCTCACATTCCCCTTCTTTTTGTTATTTCTATAACTTAGAACCTTCCAAGTTGGAAGGCTGTTGGAGTGCGCATCCAAGATGTGCTAGAGCTGTTAGCCAGTTAGTTGTAGAACGTTAGTACCGTCGGTGAGTGTCGAGCAATGTTATCGCATGAGCTGATTGTTTAGTAACTGGTGGGGTTAGTGGACAGTATAACGTTAGTAACTTGTAGTTCCTTGGTCTTTCTCTTTGTATAAAATAAACCTTGGCTCTCCATCTGAGTCCAACAATACAAGAAATACTAATAATAAAAGATGATTGAGAGAGGTTTGAGCTTGTAGTGCAGCCATGGAACCTGAAACTAGACTCCGTGCCGTTATCTACATTTGCACCGATATCATGGTGCGCATGCTTCCGTCCCACAATAGTCTCCTTTGCTTGAGGCTGCCGAAGCAAATCGTACCTCGCAGAAAGCGCACAAGGAAAGATGAGGAAAAGAACTGACAGCAGGCTATGAGAGAAGTTGGACAAAAAATGAAACAAACAACGAAAGCTGGAGTATTTCAGAACACGATGCATCGATGGTAAGATACACTTTGGATTTGCAGTAGTTTGTTTTTCCGGCCACTGCGTCAAATTGACTGAAAGTAGATTAATCCATTCAGCGCTTTGAAAAGGGCTGACTGCTGAAAACGGCTGAATCCGAAAATTCAGCCGTTTCTGTAGAAATGTTGACGTCAAAAAGCTCTTTTTCCGCTGAATGGTTGAATCGCGCTTGGTGTGACCGCGGCCTAATGTTCGCGACAGATTAATGTTCGTTATATTTGCGAGAAGAGTGTAACGCGAATATTAACCAGCGTGCATTTGAGCTTCAAAAGTCGGTGAATGTAGGTGGCCCCTGTGCTTCGCGAACCTTTGCCATCACAAACTTGTTGTTTCCAAGAAATCGCGAAAATTTGGTGACGTGGATATTGAGCGATTTACAATATTTCCCAAATTAACTTCACTACTACTACAGTCCGTTTCAAAAAGATTTGCAATCCTGGCGATCGCCCGCGAAGTTTGGCGTCTTACCGTATGAGCACTCTAGCGCTGCCTGGAAAAACTCACTGTGAACTCGAAGAAATATTCCGCGCGAAAGCAGGAAAAATGACAACTCACTCACGTTGATACAGTCATGTACGTCTGGTTTACACCAAACGAGTTCTTCCTCGTATCGATAATGGAGTCAGAGAGGACATGTCGAAACGAAAGTGTTGTAGATGTTGACGAGCGGCATCCGTCCCAATACGTTTTGTGACCAAAATAGTTTCTTTGAGCTGCGATTTACTCACCGTGTGACGAAAACGACATCGATACGGACTCATTTCCAAGGCCATGACTTGGCAAAGCTATCCGTGTGACTTTGACGACATTTTGAGAAAAGCAGACGCTTGTGAACGCTGATAGAAGACGGCGTTGACTGCTAAATTCAAATTGGCGATCTTGAAATACTAGAATGAATCTCCAAAAGCTACAGCGCGATGACTTCCATATTCACTCACACCATTGCAGTGTTGTGGGTGTGTTCACATGGCGCGAGCCAGTCGAGTGTCAGTCAGTTCGGCAGGAAGCGCGAGCTCCAACAACAAGTCGTTTAGTGCAGCCATCTTCTTTGTCTTGTGTACCAGCTTGATCACCAAAACAATGAAGAAAAAATGTTTGACTTGAGGATAGGTTGGGATTTGAACTCACAACTAATACTTCATGTTCAGCAGACAGCATTCATGACCATGATTCACAAAAGGCCAAAAAGGAAAGGATAAATCGTGGGTTTGATAAAAAGTCGATACTGGCTTCCTGGGCAAATTGTTAACCATGGGAAAAGGCCGGAAACCTAGCCGAAATTCTAACTCCTTAACGGCTGGTTCAATTGTTCCGAAACCTTAACAGAACAATTTGCCGTGTCCTAACAAGCCATTCTATGTACTTTGTTGTCCACATTTCCAATGTCCTTCCCCATGTGTCCTTCTTCGATCAATCCATATCTGGCTTGCATCATGATGCATGATGCATGATGCAAGCCAGATATGGATTGATCAAAGAAGTATAGATTTACAATAGCTGTGAATACTTGTAACAGGAAAAGAGTCACACTGTAGCTCAGTTGGTTAGAGTATTGCTCGTGAATAGCAAGGTCCCTGGTTCGAGTCCCGGTGGTGTGACTGATGATTTGTTCCTCCATTGTGATAATATTATTATGTGTGTGGATGCATGTGTTTGCGTGCACGCGCCAATGTATGTGTAAGTGGTTTCAATCGTTTGCAAAAATGTGTATGACAGTGTATGACGGTGTATGGCAGTGTATGACGGTGTATGACTTTATTGACCTGTGTTCTACATGCTTGTCCATCTTGTCTTCAGGACCAGCTCGAGCGTGACCTCGAGAAGTTGACGAGAATAAAAAGGCTTGCCCATCGCGTGTGGACGGTCAGTGAACGCTTTCAGAAACATATCTACACATGTCTGAATCTTTTCTTCTAACACAACTGCTACAGACGTTTGTGATTAGGACTTTGCGTGCGATATTTATCGTATGCTAACAGACTCTCTGTTCTCTGCTATTCCCCGTGTTCTAGATTGGTACAATCCCTTCGCGATATCGCCGTACTATTTACACTCAGGTGTTTGATAATATCAATTATCGCTGTAATCAGGCCAAACCGTTCTTCAGCGACGCCTTCTACATCGGTGTGTTATCTGGAAGGATTGTTGTGCTTCGGCTGCACATGCTTACCCTGAATGTGTTGACGCACGCGCGCTCGCGTGTGCTTATGTCCGTGTATGTGTATGTGCGCGCGCGCGCGTGTGTGTGTGTATGATTGTGTGTGTTTGTGTGCGTGTGTGTGTGTGTTTGTGTGTGTTTGTGTGCGTGTGTGTGCGTGTGTGTGTTTTTTTGTGTGAGAGTGTGAGTGTGTCGACCCAAGCACTTGTAGAGTGCGTATAGGTTACCGCCCTAGTAATCTGTTTTATTCAGATGTTGTCTGCTATAATTAGTATTTGGGTGTTTAGCCATCGTTTTGCATTTGCAGATTCGCGTGTTTCTCTTGTGACGGGTGTGTATATCTGGTACATTGTGGTTTGTGGCGTGTATTTCTGTGTACTTCTGTAACATGTCTGCACATCGTCTGTGTATATCCCTCTGCGTTCAGGTCCAGACGAGAGTGGACCTCGGATGTGCATGAAGATTCACCCAAGCGAAACCCCAAAAGGATTTTCCTTTTACTATTGCCTAGTCAAGGTAGAAAACCAGAATTATTGCTCTGAACTTTGTTGAAGTTGTACAGGGCTCTAAACCATGGCGTCAGATGTAGCCAGAAGTCCGAAACTAGCGACAATCTAGTGGGGAGGGGCTCTGAAGATTCAGGTTTGGTGGCTCACGGTCCTACTCCTGCATCCATGAATGCTTAGACCAGTTGTGACCGCATTTAGAACCAATGTTAATTGACCTTTTCAGCACGAAGGATGTAGAACCCTGTAGTTAGAAAATTGTTCAATGTGCGACTGTCTCCTTGCGACAATACTGTCTAAGAAGTAAAAAGGGGAACTCCCCTGTAGCCTTGCCAGAAAACCGTAGCTCTCTTTATTCAGACAGCAGTGGTGAATACGATTGCTAGCAGAAATGCATGAGTGAGGTCGGAAGTACCATTTCAGCGGGGGAAAACGCATAAATGTATATCTCGTGTGTCGTGTTCTTATTATTATTATCATTATTCTTTTATTTGAAACTCGGGTATTGAGCCAATAATAAAAGTGGAAAAGAAAAGGACATAATAAGGAAACGAGTGGTGGAGAGTTACTCGTAACTCGTTTCTATATGTCCTTTTCCTTTCTATTCTTTTATTTTTTTAAATTAAAAATGACCAAGGAACTTTTATGAATAATTTTTGGCTCAATGGCTCTCCATCTGAGTTAATTCTTTTATTGCACGTGTTTATGTTGTGTTGTTCGCTCGTTGCTGTTTTTCTCCGCTCTAGGGCAGAAATGATGATGGGTTAGTTTGGCCGTTCAATCACGCAGTCAAAGTGCAGTGTTTGCATGACACTGAGGACAGAGTGATCATGGAGTTCACCATCCAACCACCCAGTGACGCAGCGGCGAGTCTCGATTACACCGACCAGCCGATAACAGATGGTCCGATAACAGAACATAGCCCAGGCTGGGGAAACCAGGGCATGCTGTCGCGCGCCATGCGGTATGAAGCGGGATCGATACGTTCGGACAGGATACGAATACGCTACATCGTGGAGTGGGTGCCGTATTATGAACCCGCTTTAGTTTAGACATCGGAAAATTGTTGTTGTCGTCGTCGTTGTTGTTGTTATATTTCATTTCAAGTGGCAACACAAATAGGCGTTGGCGCCTTCTTCTATACATGAGAGCGACATGACAAATTTAATAATAATAGTAATGGGGAGGAGATGGGAGGGGAAAAACTCATAAAGTGAAAGAAGTCACCGAAGGTAACTTAATATGTTACAGATAGATCTGTGGGAATCAGAACCATGTTGAAAACCGAAAACACGGAGTGTAACTGACCGATTTGATGTCGAGAAGTTCATTTCCTAACATCCTTGCAGAACTTTAGGTAGCAATAAGATGGGATTTGATCAGATAAAATCTGACACCAAATTAGAAAGGATTGACCATTGGTGTACAGATAAAAAGGTGACTTATTTGAATATTTGGACGCTTTCGAGAGAGCACAGAAATGGGCGTGACAAGGTTCACAGCGTACCATGGGCGGTGTCTTCTTCCAGAGAATGGCAGCAGTGAACTGGATGGTACCTCGATCGGAAGGACCGGGCCAGAAGGGTACCTGCAATAGGTTTTGGTCAGTTCCACGGTTGCGATCACTCTGTGTTCTGGCGTAATATTTCCTAAACGGGACACTTGAACGGCCATGAATGCACCGGCAAACGAATAATTATTCCCGTAGCTATGCAGAAGACGTTACTTCAGTAACGTCTGGCGCTAGCCAGGGTTCACACAGCTTTAATTGCCGTAGCTATGCAGAAGACGTTACTTCAGCAACGTCTGGCGCTAGCCAGGGTCCACACAGCTTTATTTCCCGTAGCTATGCAGAAGACGTTACTTCAGTAACGTCTGGCGCTAGCCAGGGTCCACACAGCTTTAATTCCCGTAGCTATGCAGAAGACGTTACTTCAGTAACGTCTGGCGCTAGCCAGGGTCCACACAGCTTTAATTCCCGTAGCTATGCAGAAGACGTTACTTCAGTAACGTCTGGCGCTAGCCAGGGTCCACACAGCTTTAATTTGGTATTTGTTCCCGTAGCTATGCAGAAGACGTTACTTCAGTAACGTCTGGCGCTAGCCAGGGTCCACACAGCTTTAATTCCCGTAGCTATGCAGAAGACGTTACTTCAGTAACGTCTGGCGCTAGCCAGGGTCCACACAGCTTTAATTCCCGTAGCTATGCAGAAGACGTTACTTCAGTAACGTCTGGCGCTAGCCAGGGTCCACACAGCTTTAATTTGGTGTTTGTTTGTGTGTTTGTTTGTTTGTGTCACGCCTGGCGCTATCCTGTATCTATCCTGTATCTATCCCGTACTGTACCGTACCAGCAAAGACAGCTGGCCACAATATTTTTGTTTGTTTCTGCGATCGACATGCCTGGCGCTATCCCGTACCTGTCCCGTACCATCAAGAGTACGGTACCATCAAGAGAATGAGCATATATGCGAAGCAAGAGTACATAACCCCCCCAGAGTGTGCAACTCCCACATACCCTGTTGTCCCGACAGAATTTCAAGTTGACGTCATTATTTATGACGCAATGCTCCTTGCAGCAGTGATTTACAACATGTGTACGGGTGTCAACGCATCACACGTTTTTCTTTGAAATAATTTGTACAGGATCGATCGGCTTCGGTCAACCACAGGTTCCGGATTCGTCTGATAATCCGTGTACAGTGCGCATTGTATCATCAAAATGACGTCAACTTGAAATTCTGTCGGGACAGCACCCTTAGTGGAGTTGCACACTCTGGGAGGTTATGTACTCTTGATGCGAAGTGTATGGGGGGGGGGGATGCATTCAGTGCAGTAACATTAAATTTTGTGTGGATTTGTGTGCGAGGCCGAGATGCCACTAGCAGGCTGGCTGGGTCGCCTGTCGACCAGCCCGGAAATCGCATGTAGGCCGATAGCATAATAACAAGAGTACATAACCCCCCAGAGTGTGCAACGCCTGATCCAGCTCTGCATAGGGTCTTGGTCGAGCGGAATCGGATCTTTGCGTCATAATACCGTACACATCCGAGGGGAACCCGGGAAGTCGCGGGTACTCTTGGATCAAAAACAATGGTGCCCTGCCTCGAGACCGGCTGGTGTGAAGTGTACGCATGACATCAGAAGATCCGATTCCGCTCGACCAAGACCCTACACAGAGCTGGATCGGCGTTGCACACTCTGGGGGGTTATGTACTCTTGATAATAATTATAACGTATATACAGTTACTCAATCTGCGGACAGCATGATGTTTCGTTCTTTTTGAACTCATCAGCGCAGCACAGAGAAAATGAGGCCGAACCTGATAGCAATGAAAATAAAAATTTCCAATCAGGCCCGAACGTATCTTGCCAGAGTGCTCAAACTGACAAGTCAGTCATGTAGATGTATAGCAGGGAGTCATATTATGTAAACGACTCCCTGCTGCATGGGGAGATTTTCTGGAAAGAAATACGAAGTAGGGAGACGAGTAAATGCAATCAGAATGGATGTTAGTTGCCGTCAGTATTTTAATAAGAAGAAGAAGAAGAACGCCCGTGATCGGCAGAGTCAGCGCCGGTCCCAGGAAACGTCAGGACAGACATCCCGTCGACTCCAGAACGCCCGTCATCGGCAGAGTCAGCGCCGGTCCCATAGCTATGCAGAAGACGTTACTTGTACTTCAGTATCTCATTGAAACGTTTTTGCAAAACAATGATGTAGCTAATCAAAGGAAAAAGCATTTCCATCAGCTCTAACAACATGCACGATGAGCTAGGCAACAAAGCATAGCGCAGGGCCCTGAGCTTCCAAGCTCTCTCGTTTGGTGTTTGTTTGTTTGTTTGTTTGTTTGTTTGTGTCACGCCTGGCGCTATCCCGTATCTGTCCCGTACTGTACCGTACCAGCAAAGATAGCTGGCCACAATATTTTTGTTTGTTTGTGCCATCGACATGCCTTCGACATGCCTGGCGCTATCCCTTACCTGTCCCGTACCATCAAGAGTACGGTATCATCAAGTGAATGAGTATATATGCGAAGTGTATCGGGGGAATGCATTCAGTGCAGTAACATTTTGTGTGGATTTGTGTGCGAGGCCGAGATCCCACTAGCAGGCTGGCTGGGCCGCCTGTCGACCAGTCCGGGAATCGCATATAGGCCGATTGCATAATAATTATAACGTATATACAGTCATGTAGATGTATAGCAGGGTGTCATATTCTGTAATAGACTCCCTGCTGTATGGGGAGATTTTCTGGAAAGAAATACGAAGTAGGGAGACGAGTAAATATAATCAGAATGGATGTTAGTTGCCGTCAGTATAATAATAATAATAATAAGAAGAAGAAGAACGCCCGTGATCGGCAGAGTCAGCGCCGGTCCCAGGAAACGTCAGGACAGACATCCCGTTGACTCCAGAACGCCCGTGATCGGCAGAGTCAGCGCCGGTCCCATAGCTATGCAGAAGACGTTACTTCAGTATCTCAGTGAAAGGTTTTTGCAATACAATGATGTAGCTAATCAAAGGAAAAAGCATTTCCATCAGTTCTAACAACATACACGATGAGCTAGGCAACAAAGCATAGCGCAGGGCCCTGAGCTTCCAAGCTCTCTCGTTTGGTGTTTGTTTGTTTGTTTGTTTGTGTCACGGCTGGAGCTATCCCGTATCTGTCCCATATCTGTCCCGTATCTGTGACTACAAAGGCTCTACAGGATTGTACATAACAGCTGTCCACAATATTTGCGGGCTCCTGTATCTGTCCCGTACCGTACCAATATTCGTCGTATAATGTATACGACTCCCTGATGTAGAGGGAGATTTGGAAAGAAATAGGGAGACGAGGAGGAAATTAAATTAGAATAGACGCCGAATAGGTGATAGGATGCGTCAGCATAAACATACTTTGGAAGAGAGATCCCGTCGTCTCCAAAATAAGCGTGAACGAGCGATTCAGCGCCGGTCACAGGAAACGTCGGAAGAGAGATCCCGTCCACTCCAGAACACCCGTGATCGGCAGAGTCCGCCGGTCCCAGGCAACGTCAGGACAGACATCCCTGTTGAGTCCAGAACGCCCGTGATCGGCAGAGTCTAAGCCGGTCCCAGGAAACGTCAGGACAGACATCCCGTCGAGTCCAGACCGATCGTGATCGGCAGAGTCAGCGCCGGTCCCAGTAAACGTCAGGACAGACATCCCGTCGACGTGCCGAAAAACTCAATCTGCACCCTCTTTTGCCGTCGGACAGGATACGTATTATAGGAGACTGTAAAGTTATGTAATGTCCAAATTTCGATGTGAGCAGCAGGTCACTCGCGTTCATTTTTCGACGTGCGAGCCAAATAACGCGAGCTGAACTTTCGCGTCGCAGACATCCCGTCGATGCGCAGAAAAACTAAATCTGCGGCCTCTTTTGCCGTCGGACAGGATACGTATTTTAGGAGGCTGTAAAGTTATGTAATGTGCTCCACAGGCAACCAAGCATTCGGCGAAGTCATTGGCTCAACAGGTCAATGTACATGTATTACTACAAAAAGGCCAGAAAATCCGATTACTGTATTAAAATAAACTAATTTTCGCTGGCGATTTAATTTCGCTGATTTCGCCGCTTGGTACCAACCGGCCAAAGTAAATCGCAGGCCAAAGTTTGTCATATAGGCAAATGATGCATGATTGAGCAATGGATGCATGAGAGAGCAAAAATACCGATCGGTTTCAAATTTGACGTGAAATTGCGCGTCACGTCGGAAATAACGTGCATCTTAACCTCTCTAATAGAGAGGTTTCTATTTCTCATCGACCAAAATTTGTTGATTTACAGTATAAGGAGATAAAAAGAAAAGAAGGAACAAACCAAAACTAGATGATTATTAGAGAAATAACAATCCGCAATAAATTCTGCAAATACTTTTACCTAACTCATAATATTGAAACGTTTTTGCAATACAGTGATGTGGCCAATCAGCGGAAAAAGACATTTCCATCAGTTCTTATAACATGTACGATGAGCTAGGCAAAAAGGCATAAAAGCATAGCGTAGGGCCCTGAGCTTCCAAGCTCTCTCGTTTGTTTGTGTGTTTGTTTGTTTGTTTGTTTGTTTGTGTCAC